CCCTGCCAAAGTAAATAGCTTCACGTTTTCCCAGATGGTCCTCTCCCAGCCAGAATTTCACCCATTCACTTCATTATCTATTTATAATTCATAGAATCCCTGCAGTGTGGAAACAGGCCCTTCGCCCCAACAAGTCCACTCTGTTCCTCAGAGCATCCCAGCCAGACCTATCCCCTTCTAACCCACCTAATCTACGCGTCCCTAAACACTATGGGTTAATTTAGCATGGCCAATCCACCTAGACTGTGCATGTTTGGACTGTGGGAGGAAAATAGCTGTGGAAGCTCTAAATTGGAGTAATCTGTTGGGCACATTGAAAAGCCCTAGTCAGAGCTGGGGGATCTGCTCACCGATGGGTATCTCAACAGGCACCGACACTGGACTCGCTCCTCAGAGGTCACAAGTTTGAATCTCGCCACGTCCAGTTGCAAAATTCAGCCCAGGACTTATTCAAAAGGATAAGTCCATAAAAATAGACAGATTTCACAGATCGGAGGATGAGGAAGGGAGTGGAGCCAAGTGACCTCCCACTGTGCTCTGTCCCTTCCAATTTGTGGATCAGGTCAGCCATGGTCTCACTGAGTGGGGCCTGCTTTTGCTCGACGATTCTCTCTGGCTGAGCCCAACTGCTTTGCAGCCTTTGTGTCTGCTTCGACTGCACCGAGCTCCTGAACTATCTCCTCATTTGCTTCCACTTCCACCATTGCCAGTCTGCACACTAGCCTCCATCGCATCGACTGCTCAGTGCTTTTGCTGTTCCCTCCTGACTGGCTGGTCCAGTCGGCCCCTTCCTCCCTCCACAGACTCCAACTCATCCTCACGTCTCCTGCCCAAAATCTGACACACTCAACCTTCTGATCACTGGGGCCCAAATTCTGAGGGGGGCCCAATCACGAGTCCCAGGCCAGAAGTAGCTCATAGGCCCAAGAGTCCTGTCCGTGACCCTGACCCATCACACAGCCCCACTGCCCCCTTTCTCACTGATCTACACTAAATCCTTAGGCAACAATAACTGAGTTCGAACATTTTCAATCAAACACACCTCACGGCCTTGCCTCTCCCTATCTCAGTTACCTCCTCCCCTGTGATTTCTGGCTTCATCTGATGCTGGCATTATCTACTTTGCATAGTACAGATACTGGGAATGAGTTACGCACTGAAATATAATCGAGAGGTTAGGGTAATTTATATATAGAATAACATTTAGCCAGGAGTGATTTGCAGACTGGAATCTTATCAAGGGGTCCAGTGTGGTTTATATACAGCATAACGGATACCCAGGAATGAGTTACAGGCTGGTATCTAATCGAGGGGTTCAAGGGGGTTTATCTATAGAATAACATACACAGGCGTGAGTTCAAGACTGAAGTCTAATCGAGAGGTTCAGGGTGGGTTATATAAAATAACAGATACCTGGGAGTGAGTTACAGGCTGGAATTTAATCGATGGATTCAAGGTGGCTTATCTGTAGAATAACAATTATCTGGCAGTTGGAATCTATTGGAGGGTTTGTGGTGTTTTATCGGTAGAAAAACAGATAACTAGGAGTCATTCACAAGGGGATTGGGAGAATTTGGAGTTGGGGGTGGGGAAAAAGAAGGTCCAGTAAATACCCTGTCCTTTCATTTCTCCATCCTCGCTGATCACGTCTTCAGCAATCCACACCCCAAGATGTTCAGGGTTTTTATTTTCATGCCTGTGGCAGTGCTAGTCCAGCACAGCCCTCCTCTTGCTCCTGCAGTACCTGGGAACTTCAACATTTCCCTCTCAGCCCGGCCTCATGGACGTTGTTTTGAATCATTCTGGCTTAGACAGTAAGAAATAGGAACAGGAGTAGACCATTCAGCCCCTCAAATCCTGCTCCACCATTCAATGGGATTATGGCTGATCTGACATTGTCCATATCCACTTTCTTACATTTTTCCCTGTGACCCTCGATTCCCTATTGATCAATAATTTATCTATCTCGGCCTTAAATGTACACATGGACTCTGCCCCCACAGTTCTCTGTGACAAGGAGTTCCAAACACACACAATCCTCCGGGAAGATATTATGCATCTCAGTCTTAAATTGGTACCCCTTTATTCTGAGACTATGTCGGATGGTCGCAGACTCTCCCAGAAGGACAAACAGCCTCTTAGCATTTACCCTGTGAAACTCCATAAGAATCCTATGTGTATCACTGAGATCACATCTCATCCTTCTGAACTCCAATGAGTCCCAACCTGTTTAGCCTTTGCTCATGAAACAAGCTCTCCATACCAGAGGTAAAGGGACCAAAAGTGCTCACAGTGCTCCAGATATGGTCTCATCAGTACGTTGTCCAGTTGCATAGGACTTGCCTACTCTCATTCTCATTTGAATGAAGGGCCAATATTCCATCGGCCTTCCTGATTTCCTGCTGTGCCCCACGCTAGTTTTCATGGACAGACCTCCCACTTCCTCATGTTATCGTGTTCTGTACTTTTTCTCCATTTAAATTCTACTCTGTTGTTTTGCTCTCCCTTCCTAACTGAAACGTTCACTTTCTCCCCACATCACAACCCATTTGCCAACTTTTTGTCCATTTACTTAACCTATCAATATCTCTCTATAAACTGTTTCTACCCCTCTCGCCACCTGCCTTTCCACTTAGTTTTGTGTCATCTGCAAATCTGGCTTCAGTACATTCATTTCTTTCTTCCAAGTTGTTAATATGCATTGTAAACACTTGTTGTCCCAGTACTGATCCCTGTAAAACTCCACTGGGAACAGGTTGCCTACCTGAAAAACAATTCCTTTTCCCCCACTCGCTGCTTCCTGCCCATGAACTGATTCACTATCCATGCTGAAATACTACCTCCAACACCATTAGCTCTTATGACTTAACCTTTTGTGAGGTACCTTGTGGAACGTCTTCTGGAAGTCCAAATACAACCCATCTACTGGTTTCCCTCTATCCACTGTGTGTGAGACTTCCTAGAAAATCTCCCCTAAATTAGTCAGACACAATTTTCCTGTCACGAGGCCCTGCTTACTCTCCATGTTTAGATTATGATTTTATAAGTGTTCTGCTATTTTTTGCTTATTAATTGATTCCAATACTTTTCCAACAACAAATGTTAGGCTAATTGGCCTCTAGTTACCTGCTTTTTGCCTCCCTCCATTTTTGAATAGGGGGATCACGTTGACAGTTTTCCAATCCTCTGGCACTTCTCCAGAATCCAAGAATTTTTGGAAAATGAAAACCAATACATCCACTATCTCAGTAGCTACTTTTTTGTTTTTGTTAAGGCCTTCAGGGCCAGAGGACCTATCTACCTTTTTTCCCCTTGAGTTTGTCTGACAGCACTTCCTCGTGATGATGACGGTACTTCACTCCTACCCCTCTGTATCATATATATAATGAATCATATCATCCCTACAGTGTGGAAACAGGCCCTTCGGCCCAACAAGTCCACACCGAACTTCAGAGCATCCCAACGAGACCCAGACCCAGACCTAGCCCCAGCCCCCAATAACCCACCTAATCTACACACCCCTATGGGCAATTTAGCATGGCCAATCCACCTAACCTGCAAATCTTTGGATTGTGGGAAGAAACTGGAGCACCCGGAGGAAACCCACGCAGACACGGAGAGAATGTGCAAACTCCACACAGACAGTCACCCGAGGCTGGAATCGAACCCGGGTCCCTGGCGCTGTGAGGCAGCAGTGCTAACCACTGAGCCACCGTGCAACCCATATCCTTTAGTATTAACAGAATGTTTGAAACATCTTCCACCGTGATGCAAAATATCCGCTTAATTCCTCGGCCATTCCTTATTTCCCCAAAACTATCTCCCCAGATTCATCTTCTAAGGGGTTAATATTCATTTTGACCTCTCTCTTCCTTTTCATCTAAAGAAGCTCTTCCTGTCCGTTTCTATGTTCCTCGGTGGTGGTTTAAATTATTTTTCAGTCCTCTTTTGCTGGATTCTGAATTTATCCCAGGTTTCAGAGCCATCACTGACTTTGGCCTTCCTCTATTGCTTTTTCTTTCAACCTAATTGTTCTAATTTCCCTGGTTAGGCATGATTTGGTTATCCCATTCTTGGAATCTTTCCTCCTTACTGGGATACCAGCAGACACAGCACCGAGCTCAGCAACTGAGTCCTTTAACAATGAAATTCAGTCCATTTTCTCCCTTGACAAACTCAGTTTGACCAGTCCAATCAACTCGTTGGCTTTCACCAAAGAAAAAACCCAAAACAATATACTCTTAACAGAAGAAAAGATGATGCATTGTCCTTCAATCCATGGCCCTGCAAACATCTGTTCACACACAGTTCTTTGAAGCTTGCATCACATATAGAGAGGGTGGTTAGTAAGGCATTTAGCACACTTGCCTTCATTGCTTCATTCATTGAGCACAGGAGTTGGGATAACCTGTTGAGGCTGTAGAAGAGATTGGTGAGGCCTCTTCTGGAATACTGTGTCCAGTTCTCGTTTCCCAGTTATAGGGAAGGATATTATTAAACTAGAGAAGAGATTTACCAGGAATGGAAGGTTTGAGTTATAAAAGGAAGGCTGAATAGTTTTTCACTGGAATGCAGGAGGTTGAGGAGTAACCTTATAGAGGTTTTATAAAATCAGGAGGGGTAGAGATAGGGTTAATGGCAGGTGTCTTTTCCTTAGGGTGGGAGATTAAGACTAGGGGGCATATTTTTAAAGGGGAGGGGAGAAAGATTTTTTTTGAAAAAAAGACACAAGGGACAATTTTTTTTTAAAAAAGTGTGGCTTGTGTGTGGAATGAATGGGCAAAGGAAATGGTGGATGCGGGTATAATTACAACCTTTAAAAGACACTTGGAGAAGTACATGAAGGAGAAACGTTTGGAGGGATATGGGCTAAGCGCAGGGAGGTGGGACTAGTTTAATTTGGGATGACGGTCGGCTTGCATTGGTTAGACCAAAGAGTCTGTTTCCGTGCTGTGAGACTCTGATTGACTTTAGGAAATGAAAACCCAGGAAATGAAATGTCAATTTGACTTCATATCAACTTTATTTTTTTTTTTAAAACATATGTATACAAAATAGCACATTTACATCAAACATTAACGGACACTTCAGAATACACAAGCAGTAATACGGTTTGATGAACAGAGGCCCATTCAAATCTCCCTCACAGTCTGCCGACTGTGAAGGCAGGACACTGTTAGCTCCCACAGAGAAAGCCCTTTCTAGTAAAATCTGTGTCAACACAGTTCTGGTCTAAATCAACAGCTTCAACAGAAAGCCAAGACGACAAGGAAGGTTCCTGTCCTTGACCGGTCCCCTCAACGCCCAAGCCTGGGCCCCCTTAGCTTTGCATGTCCAGGGACGGAGCTTACTACCAGTGTGCAAACAAGCATAGGATATCACTGCTCAGCTGAGCACACCTCTCAATTGGACTGTGTCTGCGGCTCTGAAGTCAATTGTCAAACAAGCTGACTTCAGGCGATTTGGGCCCAATTTATTTACCCATGAAAAACGAAGGGAATCAGACAACACGAACGCAGTTGAGAGAACAGAGTCCCAATTGAGCGAGGTCAGATCCTGCACTGACAGAGCTTGTATTATTGCCCCTCACATTCTTCCCCAGGCAAAGCCACACACACCAGAGCTGAGATCGAACAAGTGACAGCACTGCCTCCTGGTGGCTACTGCCAGGATCACATCCCGGCTGTGATGGATTCAATCTGGTCTACTGCCGGGACTTTGCGGCACACAGTGATGGCTGCAGTCGAGGGACAGGTATTAACTCCTAGGACAGGGAACAAGGGGCCAAGCAGCAAAAGGCCTGGGCAGCCACCTTTTGTGAAGCTTTCCTCTCCCCTTGACAGAATCTTCAATATGAAGAAGTCGCTCAGAAATCAATTCGAGTCCAGGGTGAGCTTTCAGACAAATTAATAGCTTCCTGAAGACTGCCAATCGAGTTTCAACAAGGACCTGTTTGAGTGCAATATCGCCCGAAGCTTGAACGGCCAGAACAAACTCTTCCATCACTTTGCTAACTGCAGATCTCTATCTAAAAATCGTGACTTATTTCGCCTATTTTTACATTCACCTGCATAGACTTCTTTGGACTTTTGAGGGAAAACCTCAAACACATTCACAGTCTAAGGCGTCGGGCTCAGGAAATCAAAAGTAGGGATTAAAAAAAAAGTCGATGGCCCCAAGTGTTACAAGAGCAGTGGAGACTAAAGAGACTGTCAGAGTTCAATCAAAAGCCAGCGAGTTGTAGCGCTGAAAACCCAAACAAACAAAAAATGATGAGTAACACTCAGGGCCCAGCTACAGTGCCCACTTCTCTCTCCCTCAGTTCCTGGATTCTGGACAAACATCAACCAAGAATAGGGCATTGCCCCTGGGACTGGCATCAAGCGCATGCCTCCCTCCAACCCCTGAAGGGGCAAGTGTCTCAAAATAGGTGAAGCTCCTGACGGTTCGAGACCCAAATCTGTTATAATTGAACGCTTTAAAAAAAACTCAATACTGGGGAGGGAGTGTGTGAGCATGCTTTGGGGGTAGGGAAGGGGCAAACCTTTTGTGCTTTTCCACTCTCACGCTCAACAGGATCGGCACAGCGGAAACCAGGCCCAGTCCAAACTGGGGGTGGGGGAGGGTGGGGCTGCGAACGCAGGAAACAAACGCCTATCAGGGTGGGCCTTCCGACGGACCCTGCCGTCTCAGAGTACGAAATGGAGGTCCAAAAAAAAAAAAAAAAAAAAAAAAAAAAATTCTGCAGGCTCCACTCATTCGCCACCAGCGAGAAGACGCGGCCTCAGAATTCGCTCCCCCCTCCCCGTCGCGATCCTCAAAAAAAGCGACCCGCGCACAAGACTGGGTGAATGCCGACGGTCGCCGCTTCTGAAAGGGACATGAAATTTTGGCTCGTCCTGCAACGCCAACGCACTGGAAACGCGAAGGATGGAGGACACTCTGGGAACAGGGCGTTTTCCGACAAGACCTCAGTCGGGCCGACTTAGCGGGGAGCACTCCTTATCCGCCTCTTAGCGTAAACAGCGACCCCTCCTCCTCACCACGTGGCAGGGTAGATAGGAACAGCAGGTGGGGGAAAATAAAGGAGGCGTTTGACAGGTTGAGCTTCTCATCCTCAGTGGCGATACAACAGCGAGAGGAGCTGGGAAGCACCCATCGTCTACGTGGCTTTCCAATTGCACTGTGAAGTCCATCCCAACACCGATGAAAGCCCGAGGGAAGTGCTGCCCAACCCAATGGATCTGGTGAGTGGCCCAACTCAGAACGAACGAATAAACAAACGAACAAACGAACGAATGAACGGTCAGGAGCCAGGGCAGGACCCGTTACCAGTAACAATCAGCATCCAACCAGCCCCAACTCTGCCACTGGGAGAAGATGGCATTGACTGAGCGAGGGCTGCCAAACTGTTCGAGATCCCCTTCTTGAGTCTTGCCCCGAGTGTAGTACGGGGACGGACAGTCCTCCTGGGTGGCGGTATCGTCCCCGGCAATGCGGCCCGGCGAGCTGAACCTGTAATTCTGCCCTTGGTTGTTGTCCCAGAAGGTGACGGAGTCACACTGGAAGGAGACACACAGCTCAACCGAGGCCAGGGGCTTGGTTCGCTTGGGCAGTTCCACCTTGAACGAAAAGGCATCCTCTCCTCCTCCCATCGCCGCTGTCTCCTCAGGCTGCACGTAGCTGCATGTCACGTCGTGGAAGGTCCGCCAAGCATCAAAGGTGACCCGCACCACCACCCGCTTCTCGTAGGCCAGGTTTCTGACCCGCACAGTGCCCAAGATGTGGCTCCCCTGGACCGTGCTGCTCTCCAGACACACCGAGTCCCGCTGCAGGCGCCGACGGAAGGCAGCGAGGTCGGCTGAGGGCTGGGTGAAGTCTGGCCTGAGGCCCAGGCATGGGCCTAAGCCTAGGCCTGGCTCCAGGCCCAGGCTCTCCCCTTCGGTGGGCCGAGGCGCCGCCAGATCAGACAGCTCAAACTGAAGGTCTGACAGCTCATCCTCCAGCTCGGAGAAGAGGCGCACGGCGGTCAGCGAGAACCCCCTGGCATCGGCAAACACCACCTTCTTCTTCTTCTCCTCCTTGCTGCTGCCGGCGGTGTCCGGGCCACAGCCCCGGACGCTCGTCCTCCCGTTCAGGCATGGCCGCAGTGGGCTCGGACCCAGGCACCTCACCCGGACTCCTCGCAGACCCTCCGCGCACAGAGATGGGACGCTGCCCAGTGGCGGTGGAGAGTGGCCCAGGCACAGGCGGGTGGTAATGTCGACTGGCATGTCTGTGGGGGGTTCGACAGAGACAGAGACTCAGTTAATCCAGAGGAATGTCATCCTGCAACGGATGGGCATAGACAGGGCCTATGGGGCAGGGTTTGGGGGTGGGGAGGTGAGGAGGAGAAGGGGAAAAGGGGGTGAGGGAGAGAGCTGAGAAGCAGAGGGGGAGTGAGAGGGGGACAGGGGAATGGAGAAAGAGTGAGAGAGGGTGACAGACGTGGGGAAGAGAAGAAGATAAAGAATGAAAGGGGAGGAAGAGACGAGGGCATGAGAAAGAACATGAGAACTAGGAGTAGGCCATTCAGCCCCCAAGCCTGCTCTACTGGTCAATACGAACACGGCCAAACTCATTTAGGCCTCAACTCCACATTACTATTTCTCAAACGATGACCTCCCGTTCTAGATTGCCCCACGTGGGGAAAACAGCGTCTCCTTTGTCAATCCTCTTCTGCATCTTGTGCCTCAAATCTGGGGGGTGGTCTCATTCCTCTGAACTCCATAGAAAGTATGGGCCTCAACTCCTCACCTCTATCTTAAGGCAACCCCCTCCCATTTCTGGAATCCACCTTGGAAACCTCCTCTGAACTGTCTCCAGTCCAACTACATCCCTCCTCAAGTAAGGGGACCAAAATTGTATGCCATATCCATGGTGCGGTCTGACTAATGTTTTATCCAGTTGCAGCAATACTATCCTCCTTCTATACTCCATTCCTTTACCAATAAATGCCAAAATTCCACTTGCCTTCCTAAGTACCTGCTGTACCTGCAAACTAGTTTTCTGAGGCTCATGCACAAGGACACCGGACTGAAATTTCTCAGCATTTCAATAACAAGTTGTCTTTCTGTTCTTCCAACCAATCTCACACTTAACCACACTAAACTCCATCTGCCCAATTTTGGCCCATTCACGTAATGTATCCATCTCCATTCTTAAATTTCTTCATTCTTCTTTGCAACTTCCACCTATTTTAGTGCCACATGCAGATTTGGTAATTGTATCTTCTATCCCTGCATCGGAGTCATTAATATCGATTGTAAATCTTGGGGCCCCAAGGGCTGAACCCTGTGGAATCCCACTTGGTCCGTCTTGCTAACCAGAAAGAGACCTATTTACCCTGACTCTCTGCTTTCCCAATCCTCTATCCAAGCCAATAAATTACCTCTCACCCTATCTGATCTGACCTTGTCCATTGACCTTCATTGACCACCTTGTCAAATGCCTTTTGCAGGTCCAGATGGACAACATCTACAGGATCCCCATAATTCACTTCACTTATTACATATTTGAAGAACTCCAGCAAATTATCCATCATAAAACCATGCTGACCAATGGGTTGAAGTGGAGGGAGAGAAAGAGTTGAGGCAGGGGGAATGGAACAGAAAGAGAGAAAGGGGGAAGGATGGAGAGACGAAATTAAAAACAAAAGTCAGAACGGAAGGGATGGCGATAAATTTCTCTACACACTCTACTCGGAAGCCGTGATATCCCTGAACACACCACAGCCTGCCAATGCCCAATGCTTTTGTGAATAGAGTCGAGTCATACAGCACAGAAACAGACCCTTTGGTCCAACCAGTCCATAAGCCCAAACTGCCTGCGCTTGGCCCATATCTGTCCAAACTCTTCCTATTCATGTACTTATCCAAATGTCTTTTAAACATTATAACTGTACCCACATGCACCACTTCCTCTGGAAGTTCATTCCACACACAAACCACTGTTAAAAAAAATTGCCTCAGATTTTACCGAAAAAAAAAAGCCCCCTAGTCTTGAAATTCCCTGTTCTAGGGAAAACTCCTACTATTCACCTTACCTACAACCCTCAATTTTATAAGCCTCTAAGGTCACCCCTCAACCTATGTTCCCATGAAAAAAGTTCCAGCCTCTCCTTCTAACTGAAGCCCTCCATTCCCAGCACCATCCTGATTAATCTCTTCTGAAGCCTCTCCAGTTTAACAATATCCTTCTGTCACCAGAACTGGACACAGTACACCAGAAGAGGCCTCGCTAACATCCTGTGCAATGTAACACTATCTTCAGACCACACCCTCCGAAAAGCAGCTGTCAGTGTCTGAGCAGGTTGCTCCGTCTAAGCTGAGATCAGGACCCTTGGCGAGCATTTCCTCCCACCTCCAACCATGGGAGTCTCCCTGTGAGCTGCTGACGCTCTCTCACACGCTGCAGGTCAGCACAGACTCACCAAGTCCTACATCTTCCTCCAAAAATGTCACCTCTCTGTCTCCTAATTTACAGCCAATCCCTTATGCCACCTCTCCCTGCTCCTTTGAGGCACCTTCTTCAAAAGCAATGTATCTAACTCCTTAAAAACATTTCATGTTTTGGCCCTGACCGCTTTCTGTGGGAGAGAATTCCACAGGCTCCCCCCACTCTCTGGGTGGACATTTCTCCTCATCTCAGTCCTATCTCATATCCTTAGATCGGGAATCCTAGTTCTGGACTCCCACACGGTCATCGGGAACTTCCTTTATCCTGTCGAGACCGATTAGAATTTTAAGCTTCTACGAAAACAGATTTAAGAGAATAAAATTGCAGTAGTGTCCAAAAAAAAATTGCTACAGTCAGAATCACCTCAAGCCAATTAGAGCCCCCGACTGGGTGATACGGACATGAATTTGAAATGTAAGGGTTGCACAAGCAGACACACAGTGACAGGAATCAACCAGAAGAGCTCCAGTCTCCAGCCCTCTTGACACAGGGTTGTTGATCTGCTATCAGTGCAATGCATCATCCAGTCTACGCCACAATGAGGAGATCCGGTCAAGATAATGTCGGAAAGCAGCAGTGGGATTTCATGGGCATGACATGACACACACACACACACAGACACCAACCCCCCCCCAACGAAAAGTGCCACTGTCGTGGCTGTTTCTAAACTGCTATCAGCTGTCCACACAAAAAGACAGCTGAGGACACGCACTGCCTGACAGGCGAAAAACGGTGCACATTTTCAGCATTCCTGCTAGGATCGGGGGCGGGGGTGGGTACAGAAAAGATATAATTAAACAAGAAGCAGCGCAGAAAAGATTTACCCAGGATGCTACCTGAACTGGAAGGTTTGAGTTACAAGGAGAGGTTGGATATACTGGGACTTCTCCCCACAACCCCCCCAATCCCTGGAGCGTGAGCTTATTAGAGGTCTATAAAATCATGAGAGACATTCATAAGGTCGATAGCCAACAGCTTTGCCCCATGGTTGGGGAGTCTAAACCTAGAGAACATAGGTTTAAGGTGAGAGGGGAGAGATACAAAAGGGTCCAGAGGGGTAATATTTTGACACAGAGGGTGGTGAGTGTATGGAACAGGCTGCCAAAAGCAGTGGTGGAGGCAGAGTACAATTTCGTCATTTAAGAAACATTTAAACAGGTACACGGATAGGATAGGTATGGAGGGATATGGGCCAAACGCAGGCAAACGGGACTAGTTCAAATTGTGAAAACTGGGTGGGTATGGGCAAGTTGGACCGAAGAGCCCGTTTTCATGCTGTAGACCACCATGACTATCTCAGCACTGGCCCAGTCACGCGAGACAGTTCAGACTCCATGGCTCGAAATAGAAAGGCCGATCTCAGAGCACAGGAGGAGGGGCACCGCGTCTACGCCAGGTCTTTCCAAGTTGAGCGCAGAGAAGCACAAGGTTCACGGTTTGAACAGAGGTCAAAGCCTCAGGTTAGCTGGGCTCAAGACTGTGTTTAGGGAGATCAAGAGGCTGCGTTCTTGCCCAGTCTTCACCGCCCCCTCTCACCGATTACCATTTCAACACTGCAAGTTGTACATGCCCAAGGGGGTCAGGAGAGTTCAGCTCTCCTCTGGGAGGAGACATCAGTCTAAAATAGACCATGCAACTCTCGCTGTCTGGGTCAGCAAGTGATACATGAAACATCAGCATTTAACTCGCAAACAGAGACAACAGGTTTGTCATATGTGTGTAATTATTGCTGTTTCAACTTCCTATGAATCGCTTTAACGATTCTCCAGTGCCAAATGGTTAGCGACACACACACACACACAGACAGACAGACACGCCCTCGATAGTGTGCTTTAAAAACAGCATCACTTGAAGTGACAACAAGGTGCAGGGCTGGATGAACACAGCAGGCCAAGCAGCATCATAGGAGCAGAAAGGCTGACGTTTCGGGCCTAGACCCTTCATCACTTGAAGTGACAGTCAGATCACACAGGTGGGGATGGTTTAAATTACAAATGCGCAGCCTAAAATAGGGACTCATCAATCTTTTAACAAGCCAAGCTCCGCAGGGAATCGTCAGCACCTTTCACAATCATTTCAATTCGCAAGTTTTTGTCTTTTGTTCCCTGACTGCCCGGGTTTATTCCTGTTTGAACCGGCCCCACAGGCTGGCCAGTATTTTGAACCAACTGGATGGAGGGGACCCCCATAACAGCAACACAGGGCTTTAAATTGGGGTGGGGGAGGGGGTGTATCAGGAATTTTGTGACTTGGTTTAAGAGCTGCCTCGGCACAGCAGCAAGGCGGCCGGGGGGGGGGGGGGGGGGGGTGGATGGGAGCCACGGGAAGAGATCCAGGGATTCGGCAAGGGTCAGCACAGTCAGGGATTTGGCAGAGTGAGGTTGGCAATAGCAGGCAAGTGTCTCCCTCCAAGGGACGAGATGACAATGCAGATCTGATGGGGCGAGAGATGCTGCACATGACGGCCAACACTTGATGTTTTTCTTAATCTTGGGATTTGGGGGTGGAGAAGGAAGTGGGCCAAGCTTCTGTGAAGAGGGAGGTGGAGGTAAATGTTTCACACTCTCACCCGAACAGAGCGAGAGTTCAAACCATCACCGGTTTAGAGCAAGAACATAGGCAAAAAGGTGCCTATTCAGGCCTACTCCTTCATTCTGTACAATTACAGCTGATGTACTCCAGGCCTCAGGCCCCTGACTCTCCGACAATTTCGAATATCTTTCAACCCCCTCTTTAAACACAGGGTTCACCTGCAGGCCACTCTCTTCCGAGGAGACC